AATACTCAAAATCACAAATTTTGCTGCCTTAGAGCTCCAAGAACTTGGAACAGAGCATCCTAGATGCAATATTTAAGGTACAGCACCCATGTGATCCTTTCTCCTTTGCTCATTTAACCAATTTGCATAAAACCCTACAGAAGAGGTGGTGTAAAGTGGATATTCTGAAGAACATTTGATTAGATTATTACCAATGAATTCAAATTGACATGAGTCTGTAGCAGGGCAAAAAAATAATGGTTTTCCTGTCACTTAAATAAATACAGGCTCTGCTTCAACAAGTTCCTTGAAACTTGAACAATTTATATACTAAAATTAACTGCAAAGCAGCATTGTAAGGCTTGTAATTATTGCTTATAATGTTTTCCATTCAAACATGAAACTCATAAAACTAGATTCAAAAGTAAATAAATCGTGACTTTCCTGTGCTGTGCCTTCAACAGGCACTGCAAAGTCTTCTCCTTCCACTTAGTATTTTAATTAAGAAAAAAAACAGGTGTTTTCTTGTATGAAGCTAATAGAAAGTTACATTAATCACAAGCTTATTTTTTAAGAAATAATTTCTCACGCTTAAATGCAAACAACTGCAAAAATTACAAAGTCTTAGAAAATCTATACCAAATAGAAGTTTCCTCCTACTGCTGGGTGCTCATTATAATTTATTGATATTAAGCAAATCCTAAAGGTTCAACAAGTTCATCATTGTTTCATCTCAAACAGCTGCAGCTTCCTGCCCCTTAGAGCTCGTTTTGAGCTGTAAGCAGAAGGAATCAATTTAAACAAATGCTCAACACTCTAAGAATCACTCTGATGACTTCTGTGATGTAACAGCAACTTAAAATTAAATAAAATCCATGCCCCATCCAGAAGAAGGAAGGTAGACGTCTGTCCCTACACAATAATTAGGAGAAGTATTTTCTATGGATAAATAACTATAATTCTCCTTTAGTCAAGACTTGCGAATAAACTTTCTTCAAATGGCATTTTTGCAGCTAGTGAGAACAAAAACTTTATAAAAAATCTACAAGAGAATTATCAGCTGATTTGAATGCACATGAAATCCTGAACATTCCCACTGCATCCAAGTCCCCAGATCATTTCTGTACAAGTGAAGTGCTTCAAGGGAGGAAATAAACCCCTCATATTTCCTTGTGAGGCTGAAATGGTGGTTGGATAGAGCAGGGAGCATAAATGCACATCAAGTGAGGATACATGCCTGTCAGGAAGGCAGCTCTTTTATCCCATAAAAAGGATTCTCTTCTAATGAATGGTGTTCCTTACTGGAAATTAAAATTAGTTCACAAATTGCTGCTGTTCCATTTAATGATAAGATGAATGCACAGTGCTTTGAATTTTTTTTATCTGCAGTAATTTTTGCTCTTTCATTCATCATTCCCTTAATTTCGCAATCTTTTAAAAAAAGAAAAAAGCTTTGAATTTTTCCCATGAAATCAGAAAACCCACGTGGCAGCATGGATTGCTCTGGTAGGCAAAAGATTTCAGTAAGTTTTAATGTCTCTTATTAGGCTAAATGATCCAGCTGAAAAGCAGAACAGCCACACAAGGTCTCCATTTAAGGCTCATTGGAGAAATAAATTCATGTCAGGTATTTTATAAAACACACACAGCCAAAGTTATTCCTGTTCAGGCAGCAGGATAACAAAAACCATGAACCCAGTGACCAAATCTGTGCCCTGCTGCCCCTTGCAACAGCTTTCAAAGCTCCTGCTTATTTCTAGAGGAATAAATTGTTTTCAAGAGGAATAAATTGTTTTCTAGAGGAATATATAGTTTTCTACAGGAATAAACTTTAGTTTGTGTGTTGGTAGGGAGAAAGAAGTGATATTTATTATTCATGTATTTATAGATCTAAATCAATATTAATGCTAACTCTGTACAACTTTCCATTTGTTCCCTCTGAAATTGCTTTTCAATTCAGTTGTTTTTTTATCTTTGTTAATAACATTTCCATTTGAAGTCCATGAATGTGAACACCTTTCTCAATCCCAAGTAGACACCCATGCTTTACCATCACTGAAATCAGTGCCCACACCTACAGCAAGCAAATACAAAATCCAGAGTTCTGCACTCCACAGATCTTCAATCAGAGGCACAAACACTGAAATAAAACGAGGACTGAAAGCCAGATTTGGAATAGTCTGTAATTACTTTTCTAAACTGTTGAATCAGACTCCCCAGTGCTGCATGCAGCAGGACTAATTATAAAAGAAACCTCTCCCATTTAAAGCTGAATTATTTGCAAATTGATCTTCAGGTAAAATACAATTCCAGTCACGGATCAGATCATGGAAAAGTTGTTTCAGGAATCACACATAAGTTATTTAATATAGCAAGAAATTCACAGAAGGATGATTTTAATCCCTTTATTTTCTTCAGCCACACTGCACTGAGATGAATAACTGTATGTGCTAAAGAAAATACTGATTAAGTGAAGAGAAAAATTATCTTGCTTAGAAACTGACAAAGAAAAAAAATCCAAAATGAAAATGCAGTTAGAATTTCTATTCACCTTTTTGTCACTCAGCACCAAAAGCTTATTTGTTAAAAAAAGTTAGAAAAACTAAGATTACTTAAATCATTTGACAGAATTTGCTTGTATTTTGACTATTAATTTCATGATCACAAATTCCTATTATGAATGGTATTTTTCTTGTCACTGGCCTCCTACATCAATCTGATACTCCAAGCAGTATCACTCTCCCATCCTCTGCTGAAAGTCTCATCCACAACTCCTGGCAAATAGCTTTGTTTATGACAGGAATGAGAAACTATGCCTTGAATATTATAATTACTGCATCCTAAAGTTCTACTGAGACATCTCAAATTTTCTGAACCACTCGGAGAGATGCTCAGCCTGAAATTCTGTAACTTTCTAATCTCAGGATGTGCCATCACCAACAAATCTTCAGGCAGCTGAGGAAATCAAAGACATACACACTGCAGGCTAGGGTGTCATTTTTACACCCTCCATGATCGTTCTTCAATCTAATAAAAAATAGGGGAGTGTAGAAAACCTCAACATATTCGGTGATAAGCAGAAACAAACTGCACCACTGGATCTGAAGGGAGATGACTTTTGCAGTGGAAGCCCAGCATTTATCAGGTCATCTGTTCATTATGCAAACACAGAGCCCAGGTGGAGGCAGCTCCTGCCTTGCAGCTTTATCTCAGCCCCCAAGCTGATAAAAGCAGGCAGTTAAATAAAGGAATGCACAGTTCTGGGGGGCAGAACCTATCTGGAATCAAGGCTCATCACTGCAGCCAGGCTGCCCAGGACACTGGAATAATTCACTTTCGAACATTTTGTAGGCTCCTCCTATTTTTGCCAACCCAAACAACCATTAGTAGGGGTCTTTTTTTCACTCTTTCGCATTGTCAGACAAACTTTTTCTTCTCTAAGAAATTCAGGTGATAAGCTGCGGAGAGAAAAATGTTAAATATTATCTGCTTGGCTCTTTTTCCTCACCAAATCATCTGAGTGATGCTAATCGTGTCTATAAGTAAACATATAGGCAGCAAAACAAAAATACAACTGAGCAACAATTTCTGTTACCTAGAAAGCAGAGCTGTCAAAGTTAACAAGAAAAAAACAGTGGTAAAGGTGCATTTCATAAATTGGTTTAATTTATGAATAAAAGTAGGGTCAACGTGACAGAATTCAGCCTCTGATGGGGTGACAAGGCACAGAACAATTACAGGGCAATATTGAAAGATCTTCTGATGTGAATGAAGCTCAGGGAAATAATAAAGAGCTTTGTTTAACAGCAGAACTGATAAAAGTGGTTACCAGCAGCAAGTCCCTGAACCCTGCACTTAAGACAAGGTGCAAGGGAAGATGGAAGGAATAAGAAACAATTTTCCACTTAGTCAGGAGTTGTTTCCCTTAAGCTACTTTCCTGCAGCCTTGTCAGAAAGTTAAACTAAATCCATACAGAGATGTTAAATATCTACTTGTGAAATTCTGTCACTGACTCCATTCAGATGGTAAATCCTGCAAAAAAACTGACTTTGCACAGACACAGCAGAGGGGAGAAATCTGCATTTCATCCACCTACCAAACGTGATGAGCAGCTGTGAATGGATCTAAACATCAATCCCCTCCTTCTTCTTCCCTCTGCAAAGCCCAAACCCACCAGTTCTGCCACCACTTCCATTGCAGCAAAGAGGAGAGATGTGACAGGAATATCTGGAAATGCACTGAATGCCCTGGACTGGGCACCACACTCCAATCCTCCCAATATTTCCACACAGAGCTGGGATTCGAGCACAATAAAACCCTGGGATTTTTTTTTTTTCCTTTTTTTTTTTGGTTGTTGTTTAAAGGGGTTTTTTTTAAGTCTTTGCAGCATTTTTGTGAGCTTCTGGTATCTTCAGTAGACTTGCTACTTTAAACTTTTGAACAAAAGGAAAGCTGGATACACAAAAACAAGCTAGACTGATATCACATTAAAGTCCCCCACAGATTTAACTTGGTAGTACTTAAAGAACAGACAGTCCCTATTCTCTACAGAAATTAAGGGACATAACACTTCAGAGTGAAAACAAATGTAAATATTCCTCTAAAATGTTAAAAAATACAACTTAAAACCATTACCAAAATTAATAGTCTGCCTGTTGAAAAACACATCTGGAGCTAAAATAATAAATATATGAATTTTGCTGCTGGTATTTTTCTAAAGTTGATTCAATAATTCTTTTCAGACAGAAAAAAAATCATCCCCATACTGGGTTTATGGCTGCTCACTGCAACTAATTCTTCCAGGAAAGCTGTCTGGGCACCCCTTGAAAATCTGATTATTGATGCTTTCAGCTCTCCTCAGTTCTCTGCTTGCTCACATTCACCACATCCACTGATGCTTTTTCTCTGCTCTAGAAGAAATGCATGAAAAGAGACTTAAAACCCATTTTCTAGTGCTGCAAGTGCTCAAGCAGAGGATGAGAATGCTCAGATCCCCAGTGAGGACGTGCCAAAAGGATATGCTCATCTTCTCTACAAACTTATCGTGCTCGTCCTGGGTTTTGGGGAAGTTCTCAATGTCCTTCTCCAGGCGCTGGATCTGCTGGTTCATCGAGTCAAGGTTGCTCTTCAGAGTCTGGGCTGAAACTAAGGGAAAAAAAGAGTTTATAAAGTGATTCCAGAAAGGGTATCAGACAAGGGAAAAACAATGTCAGTATAAATAGTCTGAAAGAGAATGATTCCATTAAGTAGATTCATATTTTTCTGAATTACAGCTCATAAAAAATCCTACCCTTCATAAAAATAAAGTGGAAATATCTACTGTAATATACCAGATCATCATATTTAACATTGAAATGTCACCACTTAATTCTACCATTAGTTCAAATTATTCAATTTCTATTTAAATTTATGGTAAAAATTCCAATATTTCTAATATTATTATTTCTAATATTCTTTTAAATCTGATTCAAAGATTAAAAACTAACTAGAGTTCAAAGAGGTTTCATCTTCTTAATGCGTGTACTTGGTTAAATGAATGATCTTATTAACGTACATTTCTGTTACAGGAATGATTTAAAGGATAGACATGGGGGAAAAAAATTAAATATTTTTTCTTATATTGAAGTTACACTGATTTCTGGGGCCCAGAGCTGTGTTAACAGCAAAGGTAGGTCTGAATAAGGTCTGAATAATAAGAGCTGCTGATAATCAAAAGGAAGTAAAGGACTCAGAGTACAGCACACTAATTAAAAAAAAAAGAGGGGATGTAAAGAACTCCTTCTTGCTGTGTGACAAGCTATTCTAATGAAAAGCACTGGGATGCCAATTTGGATTAAACAATCCCTAATTGAAACATCCTGTGAGCAAAAAAACCGCAGCAGCGTGGTGGAGGTGAAGCAACCCCACATCACAAAGGAATTCCAGACCTGGGTGAGAAGTGAGAGCCTCTGCAGAGAAACTCCTGCTCCAGCTGGAGAACTCAAAGGATCTCACCTGGAAATTCTGACTTTTGTGCCTTATCCAGGAGGCCCAATTGTCAGGCTGGATCTTATCACACGGAACAATTTAAGCAGCCCTTGCTCTTCAGTCACATCTGCCTTTTGCCACCCAAACTTCTCTCCCATTCCTTGTCTCCCCTTGCTCAGCTCCCAACTCTGCTCTTAAGAAAAAGCAGAGAATCCCACAACCCCTTTCACCCAGTGCAGCCAAGAAAAGCAAACAATTAATTTTTTTTTTAAGGAGTTTTCATTATCTTTTGCTGGAAAGCAGTTTGCCCAAAAGTTCCACTAAGTACTTTCTGAAGAACCATTTATTTTTCTATTTTCCTGCTATTAAAAAAAAAAAAAAAAGAAGAAATGAGGTTAAATATAGAAGGAAATTGAGTCACAATGGCCTGAAAAACAGCACATAGGAAATAAAAATCTGGTAAATAAAGGAGCTGTTCTCAGAAGAAAATAAATTTTCTTTTCTTTCTAAGTAAGGACTCACATCGGCCGTAACACTGATTTCATGAGCGTGTTCAAATACATGTGGCACCAACAGAGCTGCCTTTATAGCAGCCATTATCTTGATTTTGTTTTCAATTTTATCCATTTTATACTGGGTACCAAAGGAACTACTAATCATGTAATCCTAGAATTATAGTGGAAGTTCTTTAAGCTTAATTCAACTGGGGTGGGAATCTATATTGGCCAGAGAATCCTTGTAGCTTTTAAATTCACATTTGAGAGTTAACCTTGAAATCAACCACTAAAGCACTCTGAATAACACAAATTATCCAAGCTTTTAGGTTCTGGTTGCATTAGTTTAATCGTTTGATATTATGATCAAAGCACACATTTTTGCTTGAGCTGAAGAACTTGAATTACTGTAATATTTTTATGAACTGTTGTGGAGATGCAGAGGGGGACAAACAGCACTGAAGGAAAATGCTGGAACTGAAAAAAAAATAAATGAGGAGGATGCAAATGGTCATTGTGTTCATAAAAGAATAGCAGCTGGAAAGTAAATAGGCAACATAACACGGGGCTTAACTGCTTGCAGCAATTTGAAAATACTTAAATGCATGACCACGTAGCAAGATTAAAAGTTTATTTTTGTCTGGAACGCAAAAGTGCCAAGAAATTCAGCAAGCAATGACAAATAACTGTTGAACTTTGTGATTAAGATGGATGGAAAGTGTTTCCAGTAACAATTTTGTATAAAACTGAGTTCAGAAAGGCCCAATTAGGAACATCCTGGCTGCATCCTAAAGCTGTGCTTCCCATAATTAACTTCTACACTCACACTCAATTAACAAAAAAATATTGTAGAATGTGCAATTCTGTTCACTTTTTTCTCCCCCTAGCCCAGACAAATGTACAAGTTTCTGTTCAAATAATTTATGCAGTTGTTGTTCTGCAAGACAAATTTCAAAAGATGACAGAATAGGGAGCATATATATATATAGACTATAATAAAATATCTGCATTTCCTCCCATAAACCCTTTTATTAGAGATTTACTACTTCAGTAATGTGCAAAGGAATCAACATGAATACCTTCTACTTTCAGGGAAATTCATGTAAATTTCTTCAAACTCTTGCAAGGTTTTAATTTATGAAAGCATAAATTCTACTTGCAGCACAAAGCCATTTCCTTGAAACCATTTCAAAATGCACACCCTGAACAGCCTGTCCCCTGCACTCCTCAAAGACAGAGGCTTGTTCACCTTCCATTTGCTCATCACTCCACAGGAAAATTAGGCATTTAATAGAACTGGTCTCAAAAATGGACATGAAAGGCAGCATTTGGCCTTCAGCAGCAAGGGCTCTTACTGACAATGTCTCCCTGGAGCAGCCATTCCAATATTATTCCACTTAATGTTGCAGCAAGAGAGAACAACCAACTAAATCCAATACATAAATAACTGATGGCAAGGTAGGAACATGAGGCATGTACAGAAAATGAGGAAAACATGAAGAAAAGAAAAATCCCAACAGCAAAACCCACCAGAAAAATAATAATAAAAAAAAAAAGCCCTGTGTGTAACTCCCAGGCACTCAAGGATGAGCAAACCCCCGAAAAAAAGGGGAAGCAACCTAAAGGATGCCTGGCCATTTATTTCCTTGTGTTAGCAAGGAGAACAGGTTTGCCACATTCCCAAATGAGAACAAATCAGGAGCAGTAAAGAACCCTTTACCCTCACAGCTCTGCAGGACAGTGAGGACTCCCACCCACGGTGGAAAGCAGCATCCAAAAAATGGGAAAGTCTGAGAATTCACATGTCAGTCAAATTTGCTGGCACAGGGAACAGTGAAGACAGAGGATAAATGAGCTCAGGAAGGAATGATGTGAATTTTTGGACAGCAGGTTCAGAAGGAAGTCAAAGGTAAGAGGCAGGGATGGAATTTTTAAAGTCTCTGTGAATATGTGCAGATGGGGGGAACCAGCCTGAAGGAACTGCAGTGTTCTCCCCAAACAGCTTAAAATCCCACATAAACCCCAAAACCTAAACATGGACCAGTGTTCCAGGCCAAAGAGAGGAAAACACCAGCAGAATTCTCACTTTGTGTCAAATTGTGTCAGTCTGGCCCTCAGTTTAGAAAAGGTTGGCTCGCAGACAGCCCCTGCAGCTCAAAGGTGGAAAGAAATGAAACAACAAATGAAAGAAATGCAGCACCTTGAATGTGTGCACCTCAAACCCTGGGGATAAAAGGATTTAAGAGACAAAGAAAAAAGCCAAAAGCAGAAGTTAAACTTGTGTTTCAACTCACTACAGAATCCCTGCAACATACAGAACTAAGACAAGGTGAAGTGATGTGTAATAATGTATTGTCCAGGTTATTCCTGTCAGGGACACAGCAATACAAGCACTTAGATCCATCAGTATTGTCTCTGCACAACTACTGAATGCAGCTCATCTAATCATACATCATTAAATCTTGGACTGATTAAAAGATGATTTTGTATATTATTATTTATAGTAGAAAATCACAGCCACTGAAGAGATGGCACAATATTATTCTGACATAGAAGGGAATAATTTTCTTTACCTTATTATTTTCCTTATATTAATTGCTCCTCTGGAAAAAAAAAAAAAAAACATCAAACCAATCCTATCCACTTATTTTGGAGAAAGCAGTTGCACAGTCTGCACGCTAAGGAAGGCTTAGTGAGTGTCTGGTGGAGCAGTTTAGTCCCAGAAAAATGCTCCAAGCACTTAATCTCATGCTGATGGCGAGCACTAGCTGCTCCCTGTAGTCAAGCTAAGCATTTTGTATTTACATTAATACAGCAATAGTACCAAAGGTCAGAGTAATCCCTTCTAAAATAAGATTGCATCAGACTGAGAGTCCTCCCCACAACAAGAGGTGAAATGATACATTTTGATTAGCTGCAGTGCCTCTTGCATAAGAAATTTAAATGGTCTCTGATCACGATGCAGAACTGGGATGGCCATGTCCACAGCTGGAAAAAGCTCTGAAGTGAAAGCCAACAACATCAATTACTTCAGTGAGCAAAAGCAAGTCTGTAAGAAGCAAATTAACTCATGGATTTTTAAGTCTAGACAGTATTTGTACCATAACTACATTGTAAGCATACTAATGACTATTTATTTCTTATTGCCCGAGGGCAGATGGAAAGTCTTTCACAAAGGAATGAAAGGCAGTTTGGAGGGAAATGGGTGAGCAAGTAGATAATCTGCAGGAATTACAAGCATTGATTACTCAATTCATACCGAGTAAATTGCTGTTTGTTAAGACATTAAATGTTTAAACACCTCAGGGTCAAAGGGGAAGAACAGCTCCCACCCTACCCAGCTAGAGGAGTCACCATCCTCCTTTTCCAAAAACGGGGAAAGCTTTCTGACACCAAGTCCTGGTGCTTAACACCAAGCCACCATGCAGAGCAGACTTTTTCCCTGACAGGATCTTCAGTTTGCAAGTTTAGGAGTAAGGGCAGGTCTGCCCAAATGGAAATGTTTTGTTTGTATGCTATTACTGTGTGCTGGAATTTGGTCTGAGGAAGCTTCAAAGCAGAATCTTTGACAGATTTCTCATGGATGTGCCTTTGTTGCCCTGATTTTTATAAATGTTAAGTTTCCTTTTACAGTTCTTTTGAAAGTTTTAAAGTTCTTTTAAAAGAAGTTTCCTATGCTTTCTG